GCAAGAAGTCGTATCCCAAGCAAGACGTATCCCAAACAAGAAGTCGTATCCCAAGCAAGAAGTCGTGTCCCAAGCAAGAAGTCGTATCCCAAGAAGTCGTATCCCAAGCAAGAAGTCGTATCCCAAGCAAGAAGTCGTATCCCAAGCAAGACGTATCCCAAGCAAGAAGTCGTGTCCCAAGCAAGAAGTCGTATCCCAAGCAAGAAGTCGTGTCCCAAGCAAGACGACGTATCCCAAGCAAGACATATCCCAAGCAAGAAGTCGTATCCCAAGACGTCGTATCCCAAGCAAGAAGTCGTATCCCAAGACGTCGTATCCCAAGCAAGAAGTCGTATCCCAAGACGTCGTATCCCAAGCAAGAAGTCGTATCCCAAGCAAGACGTATCCCAAGCAAGAAGTCGTATCCCAAGCAAGAAGTCGTATCCCAAGCAAGAAGTCGTATCCCAAGCAAGAAGTCGTATCCCAAGCAAGAAGTCGTATCCCAAGCAAGACGTATCCCAAGCAAGACGTATCCCAAGCAAGACGTCGTATCCCAAGACGTCGTATCCCAAGCAAGAAGTCGTATCCCAAGACGTCGTATCCCAAGCAAGAAGTCGTATCCCAAGCAAGACGTATCCCAAGCAAGAAGTCGTATCCCAAGCAAGAAGTCGTATCCCAAGCAAGACGACGTATCCCAATCAAGAAGTCGTATCCCAAGCAAGAAGTCGTATCCCAAGCAAGACGTATCCCAAACAAGAAGTCGTATCCCAAGCAAGAAGTCGTATCCCAAGCAAGAAGTCGTATCCCAAGCAAGAAGTCGTATCCCAAGCAAGACATATCCCAAGCAAGAAGTCGTATCCCAAGCAAGAAGTTGTATCCCAAGCAAGATGTATCCCAAGCAAGAAGTCGTATCCCAAGCAAGACGTATCCCAAGCAAGAAGTCGTATCCCAAGCAAGAAGTCGTATCCCAAGCAAGAAGTCGTATCCCAAGCAAGAAGTCGTATCCCAAGCAAGAAGTCGTAACCCAAGCAAGAAGTCGTATCCCAAGCAAGAAGTCGTATCCCAAGCAAGAAGTCGTATCCCAAGCAAGAAGTCGTATCCCAAGCAAGAAGTCGTATCCCAAGCAAGAAGTCGTATCTCAAGCAAGAAGTCGTATCTCAAGCAAGAAGTCGTATCCCAAGCAAGAAGTCGTATCCCAAGCAAGACGTATCCCAAGCAAGACGTCGTGTCCCAAGACATTTTTTTCTCGTCAAAACACGCCGTATACCAAATTCGACGTATTCCAAAGCGGTCGTATACCGAGGTATGACTGTGAATAAAAATAATAGTTTGAACGCACGTGCTGAGCACGAAGGCTTTAAAGGGCCCAAAAATATCAAAAGTTTGAAGCACAATCTCTTTGAATTGAGCAAGGTTATCCATTGTAAGAGATTGGCGGAATGAAACAATGGGAGGTGGATTCCGAGTTGAGTTAATACGTGTCTTGAATTACTCCCAGGCGCTGGGGGAGCTCGATCTGTGAAAAAGAGCTTCGTCGCTCATCGGATTCCTCCAGGATGAATGAAGATTCTGAAAAAAGATTCTGATTGTTGATGGTAGATTCCATCGCTGTGCACAGTGATTGAGTACGCCCCTCTGTTGACTCAGCCCCCTGCCCCCTTTAACTTTCCCTCCTACCTCTTATCTACAACGGTGCCATGCCCTCCTCCTCCTCATCTTTGTCTGTCTTGGGGACTTGCGCCCTGGCCATCCTCTCCCGTTCCTTTCTCTTTCCCCGTGCATCACTCCCTTGCATCTACTCCACCTGCCCGTGGAGTGTGCCACGGTGACACAGTTGCTAGTCCCTCCTACAACAGCCGATAATAGAAGCAGAGCTCGCCTCCCCATGTCTCCACACGTGAATAAAATAAAGCATTCATAATAAAGGTTTTTGGGTTAGATTTGCGTTACTTATCAATGTGTCGCAACCCTCCACCACCCTACACGGGCAATCAGTAAAAAAATGTGTCACGTTGACAAATGACAAATAGTTCACTACTTTAGCCCACCAGTGTGTTGAAGAGTGAATCCACAACATTTACATTTTTATTAGTACGACGTTTCGCTGGTACATGTAGTTACATTACTGGCCAAGGCTAATTAGAGAATGCATTGAAATTGAGAGAAATACAAATAACTTTAATCGCTCTGACAGCCACAGGCTTAGTGCGGCCTGGAAGCGTATTATTAAATGATACATTACAATTACAATTCCTTATAGGGGAAACACAATCTAATTAACTGATTACTAACCTAGTATATTATTACAATAACCCCCCCTCCGCCACCTCTGATTTCTGCACCTGATTGGGTATAGTGATTGGGTTCAGTTATAAAATAATACACATTACAACTAATTACTAATTTACAACTGATTACTAATCATAACCATGAACTGATTACTAATCTATTATATAATTACAATACCCGCCTCTGATCTCTGCACCTGATTGGGTTAAATGATGACGTCACCCTGGTGCTCTATTTAAGACCGGGAGCAGGTGGAGGGCTTCACTTTTCTGTCAAATTGCCCGATGATGCTGGATGTAATTACCAGCGAAACGTCGTACTCAAAAATTGTAAATGTTGCGGATTCACTCTTCAACACACCGGTGGGCTAAAGTAGTGAACTATTTGTCTTTTGTCAACGTGACACATTTTTTACTGATTGGCCGTGTCGGGTGTGGAGGGTTTGTGACACATTTATAAATAACGCAATATAACCCATGAACCTTTATTATGACTAATATTGATTGTGAAAGCCTACGTGCCAAAATAAAGCATGTTTGTCAGTCCATCAGCCTGAACGACTTCTGCCCGAATATCACGCAGCTGAACCGCCCTGTGTATATGTACCATGCCGCATCGCGCTCTTTCATATGCGCTTCTGTGGCCGTCTGGAACGCTCTTCCTATATTAGGAAGCCATTGGGGGCTCTGTACTTTTGCATCTAAAACTAATTTATTTAAAACAGTTTTTTGTGTTTAGTTTGTTGCCCCCTCCACCTGCACCTCCGATTAGCACGGTTCACTTCGTACGGTTGCGAAAGAAGTTCAACGTACATATCCTTTGAATTGACTTTGTACTGTGGATTTCCACACACAGAAAGGGCAATCCAGGTATCCCTCGATTTACCAAAGGGATGCATTAAAAAAGCATGCATGAAACCTGGTGACTTTTCCCATTAATTTAACACTAAAAGTTTGGGATGTCTGTCTGGGCAGTCATTTCAACTCTACTCCTAACCTGAAAAAAATATACACCTGCAGGGACTCCTCTATTTAAGAAAATTCGACTTTAAAACTTTCCGATAATACGAAAAAACCTGTCCTTATGTCCAGTTGCCTGTTCAGACAGAGAGTTGTAAAGTAAACCGTCACGTAATTAATTGCGGTGGTGACATCTGCAGAATGTGTAGAGCCAGTGGCGTCTACATCTACAGGAGATTTTAAAACTTTTAAAGCCACTCCCCCGTGTTTAGTGTGCATGCCGTACAACATGTGTGGAATCGACAGGAGTAAAGTTGGACTTACGAACAAGTCAACTTACGAACAGACCTCTGGAACCTAACTCGTTCCTAAGGAGAGGAGTCCCTGTATATCACTTTTCACAATTAAAAAAAAAACATACATTTTAGAAGAAAAAAAAAACATACATTTTAAAACGATTGAACAATAATTACTTGGAAAGAAAATAAATTCGCCTTTCCAGGGAACTCCCCGAAAAATATCTCCTTGCATATTCTTTGGTTCTTTCGGTAAAGGTCACGTTTTGCGATCCAAACGTCGTGATCTATTATTTTTTTTCTACCCACGTGACTTTTACCGAAAGAACCAAAGAGTGTGGATTCCCGCAGTCACGAAAGCTTCAAATCAAGATGTCCTTGCATGTTGGAATGGCTGGGTATGGCGCTGTGCGATGGAGGCCGTTGTTACAGCTGCCACCGCACAGACGACGCCGTTCGTTGTGACGGCAGCCTCCAACCGCCGCGCGCGACTTCTCGTTTTCACGATGTCGCGGGCGCGTGCCGAAGTGACATTTCGCGGACCCCTGGAAATTCGATTTTTTTTTTGGCAATCGAGAAGCGCCCGCGACTTGTCATTCGCGGCGGCGTGGAATTTCGTTAAAACGGAACGTTCGTAAAATCGTGGGACGCCCACCCTTATTGTCAATTATATTATCATCATTGATGGAGAATCAGGCTGGACTTGGCCTTTCTGGTGATAATACAGAGGGGTTTTGCTGAGATGTTCAAACATTGCTCGGCATCGTCAAGTGCTCGGCATCGTCAAGTCCACAAAACATGCAAACAAACAAACCGTGCTTTGATAATAATGTTGTGCATTGTTGTTTGAAACTGATTGGCCTGCGCCAGAGGCGGTATCCTCAATGTCTTTCGACGTAACAGCACAAATGTGATGCAAATATCAAAGCATTTCTATCGCATTGCACGTTTGTTTGCGTGTTTTACCGCAAGCGTGTGTGGTTAATGCGGACTTGGTATCTTTGTGATGATGATGGGTGTTCATTTGACGTTTGAACATCTGAACACCTGTATTATTGCTGGAAAGGCTAGATTGTTTTAAATATTCATTATTTTTATCACTTTAATTTGTTTTGATAACTTTTTTGTAGCTTATGTTTTTTGTGTTATGCCATTTATTAATTTGTTTATTCATTTTTGGATTTTGCTTGATGGGGTTTTCATTTGCTTGGTGTGTGTGTGTGGCTTTCTATTATGAGGAGCAGTGATGTAGCGGTTAGCGCTCTGCACTACGAACCCCGAGTTCGATTCAAGCTCACGGCCAACACCAGTGACGATTATCTGAACCGGTCCTGGGCCTCCCCTAGGTCGACTCAGCTTCAAACGAGTACCCGGTGCTATGTGTAAACATAGCCACTGGGGAGACAAAAGCGGCCGGGCGTGGTGCTGGCCACCCACCTCCTCGTGTGCCTTCATAGGTGCTCACTAACGACACCAGCTCCTACAGTCTGTTAAGGCTATATGGGGTGTCTTTGTCTTTAAATCTCATTAATAGTACAGCGTTGTGAGGATGCTGTTGACGCGATACAAAACGAAAGTATGATTTTGATACCGGTTAAAAAACAACCAATGGTCCTGTACCATTATACTTATCATCATCATCCTGAGTGTGGCGGCTTCCCCGATGTACGGCTGTGTATATTTGCGTTGTTCAAGTTGGCCGGCCTGCTGCTGCTGCTGTTTGCCATTCTGCTCCCCCCCCTCCAGCAACAGACATCCAAGCGGGGAAAGTCCCCCTGGTTTCTATTTAAGGGCCTCATCACCAACCCCTCGTGATCGCAGCTGCGCTCCGCCTACCACGGCCGCCACCACCACCGCTACCATCCGTCTTGTTCGCTATCATCATCACTGCATCGTCATTCGTGTGCCGTAGCCGGCATCGCCACGGAACGTTGTGCGGTCAGGCGGCCGGTGAGTTCGCTGTGCGGTTAGCGGTGTTAGTCCGGGTGCTGGCTGGGTGGTAGCGGTGTTAGTCCGGGTGCTGGATGGTAGCGGTGTTAGTCCGGGTGCTGGGTGGTAGCGGTGTTGTTGAGTCCGGGTGCTGGCTGGGTGTTTACTGGGCGTTGTTATCCCTCCTGTTAGCTGTGTGCGGCTGTCTGGCAACCGCAGTCACTGTGTGTTTGCTGGGTGGTAGCTGTGTGTTAGCTGTGTGCTGCTGCGTGGTACTGTATAGCTGTGCAGTCGCTGTGTTAGCAGCGTTGGCGACTGTTATACGGCATCGTGGCTGTTTAATCGCAGCGTGGCAAGCTGCGCGTTAGCTGTTGGTTGCTCAGTGTCAACTCTGCGTGTGTGTGTGTGACTTGTGCGTATGCACGTGTTGCTCGCTGTTACGTAGCTAGCCAACCAAGCGTGCTCATGGGAGGCTCGACTAGCGCGTTAACTCCGTCTGTTGGTGGGTGGAGCACCTATGAAGGCCAGCACGGCACACGAGGGGGTGGATGATGGCCAGCATCACGCCCGGCCGCTAACAGCACTTGCCCCGACAGTCTGTTACAGGCTACACGGGGGTGAGCTTTGTCTTTGTGCGCGAGTGTCTTGCTGCCTCTCGTCCGTTTAAATCCGTGCGACCTACGTTCACCCTGCGCGTTATCCCCTCGTGACACGACACGTTGAACTCCCATCGGAGGAAGTTGTTTTTCTTCCCTGGCATACGCGCGTGTGTGTGTATATATATGGGGCAAGTGTGTGAGTGTGTGGGGGGGGGGGGAGACTATTCGGTAGGCACCTTCGACACCTTCACGTGGCCTCAAAGTGCACGTGGCCTGGCACAGGCGCCGTGGGTGATGTCGCCGTCACTCGGTGGCCAACGGTGGGGTCTTGCTTGGCATTGGGCCTTGGCGACTGGTCAGTGAGCCTCGTGGGTCTGCGGGTGTGCTATGCCGCGTACGTGCCGTGTAGTTGGCGTCGTGAAAGTTGCCTGCGGACGTGCGACGGATGGTTTACACACAAGTCTTGTGGAACTTTTACATGGAGGGCTAGACGTGGGGGGTTGGGGGGGACGAATTTAACGTTGGCGTGAGCAGGTAAAACGTTGGAGCGATCGTGTGCTGTGTGTGCTGTTAGCGAACCTTCATAGGTGCTCGCTAACAGCTCTTGCCTCGAGAGTCTGTTAAGGTTATACGGGGGATCTTTGTCCTTGTTTTGTGGGTTGCTCGCGAGTAGGTGCTCGCTAACAGCACTTGCCCCGACAGTCTGTTATGTCTCTGGGGGAATCGTCTTTTTGGGTTGCTGTTTTATAACATGCTGTTGTTGTGATCAGATGAAACAAAGTAGCATCATCAGTAGAATCATAGTTAAGAACAGCGGTTGAGTCGTGATTGACATTAGCGCAGTCATCATCAGTAGCAGAATATGTTTTTGTCATTAGCAGTAGCAGCAGTGTTATCACCGACAGAAGCAGCAGCAGTAGGAATCATCAGTAAAATAATTGTCATTAGCAGCAGCTGCAGAATCATCAGCAGCGGCGTCAGCAGAAGTACAGTAGAATAATTATCAGCAGTAAAATCGAGATAATCGTCAGCGGCAGCAGAAGCCGCAAAATAATCGGCAGTAGAGAAATAATCAGCAGGAGCGAACGTTTAGTTCCGCGTAGAATCATCACCTTCCCTCCCTAAAATCGTCATCACAATCATCGTCACCATCGCCACGTCCGACGGGGTCGGCCTATTTCAAAGGCTTCGGCGCAAGTGATCCGATCACCGCGCGTAAAGCCTCTCTCCGAGAGCCGGTCACCTCGCCACGAGCCGCTCGGGGGTGGGGTTGTGGTCCACTCGGAGCTGGGACAACTCTCGGTGCCCTTACCCGGTTCTGTTGTCAACAGAGGGGTCCAATCCATCCATCGGTGTAGCCTTAACCCCCCCCCCCCCCACCACTACTTCTCGCCTTCGAACCTGATTGGCTCACAAGTGACGACGTCACATTTATCCCCCGTCTACGGGAGGATTTATCCACAAATCTGGCTGTCGCCTGATGATGCTGGTTGTAATTACTGGGGAAACGTTGTACTCAGATTGTAAGTATTGTGGGTTTACTCTGCAACACACAACCGGTGTGTTGTACGAGTAACGAATTGCCATGTTATGTTTACGTGACAAACCTCACTAATTGGCTGTGTCGGGTGGTGGCGAGTTTAACGACACATTTATATTGACCCAATAAAACTTCTTATGGGTAATATTGGTCGCAAAGCCGACGTGTTAAACTTTTAAACAGACTTGAGGCAAGTGCTGTTAGCGAGTGGCAGCGATTATGGAGGCTGGCACGCTGTAAATGCCCAAATGATGGGCCACTTTGTTGAGCTTTAATTTGTGGTGTCCAGGTCGCTTCTGAAAAATAAGTGAGTGCCTAAGTGGGCTTTGCCTGGTAGGATGGGGGATGGTTTAGCGTTATTTGTATGCGTTTTGAGTGATTTGTTTACCTTGTACTTTGCAATACTATTATGCGTTTGTATTGATTGTTATTGTAACATGCTTACCTGCCCCTACTGGACATCTGTGAAAAAATTGCTTTTATAGCTCATCGGATTCCTCCAGTATAAATGATTATTCTGATTATCAACTTAGGGGGTGCGGCAATCGCTCAGGTGGAGGCCCCCCCAATATTTAATTCGTCTCGTACGGTCGCATCCTAGAGGCTATTCTATTTCGTTGACTCCTCTTGGCCTAATCACACGTCTCGAACATGTTAAACCGAGTTTTAAATAAGTGCTTTGTTCTTTGACACTCTTGTTGATCACATCTCATGGTGGTTGTTCAGGAGGGGGGCCCAACTCGTAGCTTTGGCCACCAAATGGGAGCCATGGCAATTTGTCACAAAGAGAGAGAGAGATCCCCCATATAGCCCTGACTGACTGTCGGCGCAAGTACTGTTAGCGGGTAGCGCCTATAAAGGCCAAGCACCATGCCCAGCGACGTTTAGTAACGCTTTTACAATCCTAAGATTCAAAGATTGAATGGAATTTCGAATTTACTGTATCCCTCCCAATTGTAAGACACGCTTTTCTTCCGGTCGTTTAAAAGAAAAGTCGTGGAGGGCGCGGCTTATAATCTGATATGGGGGGGGTGCACGTCTTATAATCTGATATGGGGGCGGCACGTCTTATTATCTGATATGGGGGCGCACGTCTTATAATCTGATATGGGGGGGGGCGCACGTCTTATAATCTGATATGGGGGCGTGTGTCAGTGCAGGCCAGAAGACACCGTATTCTCTGGACGAGAAGACGCACACCACCCTACGGGGGGTGGGAGAAAGTGCGTCTCACAATCGGCAGAATACGGCATCGGTTTCCTGGCCCTGCGCTCACTTTTCATTCTGCGTATGGGTGGCGTCTGTCTCCCACGTACAGACGGAGCGCGCGTTCAAGGCGCCTTCCGAGTATTTAGTGGGCTATTGTTGCATTGCAGGCGGGCTGAGTCATTCATTTATTCACATGCGACCGCCCTAAGCCACCAGCGATCGATTTCCACGCTGGTAGAGAAGTGACATGGTGGGTGAGTGTGGCGATGGGTGGTTCTGGTGGTTGGGTGGGTTGATGGTTGGGCCGGTGGCTGGGTGGGTTGATGGTTGGGCTGGTGGCTGCTTCGGTTGCACCCGATTCAAGAGCCGAATGGCTCACAGGGCTATACCAAATAAATGAAACTGTGACTGGGTGGGTTGATGATTGGGCCCGTGGCTGGGTGGGTTGATGGTTGGACCAGTGGATCGATGGATGGGTAGGTGAGCAGTTAGTGTATTGCGCTACTAACCCTGCGACCCGGGTTCAATTTCCGCTCACGGCCACTAACACCAGTGACGATTATCTGGACCGGTCCTGGGCCTCCCCTACGTGGACTCAACCTCAAATGAGTACCTGGTGCGATATGTGAAACATCACCACCAGGGAGACAAAGGCTGCCGGGTGTGGTGCTGGCCACCCATCCCCCTGTGTGCCGCGCCAGTCTTCATAAGTGCTACTCGCTAACAGCACTTGCCCCAACAGTCTATTACAGGCTATACCGGGGATCTTTGTCTCTATTTCCATCCTCTTCGCCTCCCCCCCCCTTTCCAAGTGTGTGAGGCCTCGCTCAGCTACTCCAGTGTTGGGGTTGGGTAGCGGCTGTTGGCATCGGTTACAGGAGCGTGCACGCCGTGCGTGCGTGTGCCGCGCTGTTTTTGTTTTGTTGAGCCGCTGAGATTTCTGCTGAGTCACTGCAGTGGTGGATGGGGGGGGGTCTCAGGCAGCCTAGGCCTTGACTGGTGCCGGTTGACGGTCTGCAGCTGAAGGGGAAAGTGGATAGAAGCTTGGATAGATGAACTGTCTCGCAGGTAGACGCGCTGCCAGGTGAAGTGTCTCATCAGGGAGATGGACTGACAGCAGGACGAGCTTGACAATGTAAATGGACTGCATACTCGTCAACCCATTATCAGTGCCAACCTTATCACAGACCAATTCAGACCTTATTGGTCACCCCGTGCGCTTATAAATCTCGTTCAACCTACAAAGCCCATATGGAAACGGCTGTACGCCGTATGGACCTGTAAACTCAATGTCCTTGATCAAGAATACGGGTAAACCGTATGGGTTGACAGGTATGGGACGGTCGGACAGGTTGCTGGTTTGACAGGCGTGTGTGTGTGTGGCGATGGGGTCGGTCGATAGTCTGGGTCGATGGGCGGGCCGATGGAATGTCTACCGTGAAGTAGGGACCGTCTTTTGAGATGGCTGTATTGTCAGACAGTCAGATTGACAGATGGCACATGGACCATTGTATTGACTGACAGGTGGATGGACTGTCTGATGAATGGACTTGTCTTGCAGGTAAATAGCTTGACTGAGAGGTAGAAACTTTTATCTCGAGAGGTTGGACCGTCTGACAGGTGGGATGATCTTGTCAGGTAGACAGATTGTCGGATTGACAGACAGCTACAAC